TGCATGCTGGGGAGGAGCAAGATTTGGTACGTCAGTGAAGCCTTTTTTAATGATGGGATTGTTAGCTAGGGCATTTCCATTGTTCATAGGGCCATGGGTTCAGAAAGTGTGATGATCACACGATCAATGGTGAATCTTAAGCTTCCAAGTTCTAACTCATTGTATAGGTGTAAGTTATAAATCCTGAGTAATGTGTCTTTGTTTTTGTATTTAGTTCATGTTCATGGATTCTGTTGTAACTTGTTTTTCAAAATGAACGAACTGGAATTGACTTGATTCCTGTTAATCTTCAGTGTGAATGATAATTTCCACAGATGGTTTTAGTGAATAGTAGATGTGAGAAAATGAAATTTGGTGATCTTTGAATCAGTGACATGAAGCCAATGCAGTGGACAAGGATCAATATTTTTCATTGAAATGGCCTATTTTTATTGGAACCTAAATATACTAATGAAAATTAAAATATTCATGTTTTGAGATTTTTGGAACATTTTGGTTAATATTTTAGAATATTTTGCGATAAAATCTTGTATGGTCTTGAAAACTTTCTGAAATGTTTTTGTGTGTATAAATTGAAATTTTGCACAATATTGAAATTTTGATTCTTGGAGGTGAATCCCAATTGTTTTTTTTTACCCCTGGAAAGTACAGTGGATCACATTGTTTTGGTAAGTAAAATTCGATAAAGAGTTTGATCAGAATTGCATTGTTCATTTGTTCATGTATTTAATCAGTCATCAGTTCACGTGGTTTCCTAAATTGGCTTTTAAGTTCAGTTTAGCGTTCTGCTGAGTTATTAGCATGAAGGTTAGGCAAACTGAGTTGAGCTGGTCTGCTCCTAAAATTTTCTTTTGGCCATTTAGCTCAACCCAGAAACAACACACAATGTTAGCGAATGTCGATTAAGAACCAAGAAAATCTAGAACAATGGAGTACGACTTGGTATTCAAGGAAAGCCTCGAGAAGTGTCAGTTACACCTGGGGGAGTCAACCAAGAAAACCCCAATCAATTAAGTGTGGGAATTAGACCTGTTTTTTTTCTCTTTTGGGCAAATTTCACTTTTCTTTCTTGTGGTTTAACCTATTTGCATATCATTTTGGGCGTTTAAAAATGACATAATCCTCTTGTAGTTGTCGGATTAAAATGTATCATTAAANCAAGGATCAATATTTTTCATTGAAATGGCCTATTTTTATTGCAACCTAAATATACTAATAATGAAAATTAAAATATTCATGTTTTGAGGTTTTTGGAACATTTTGGTTAATATTTTAGAATATTTTGCGATAAAATCTTGTATGGTCTTGAAAACTTTCTGAAATGTTTTTGTGTGTATAAATTGAAATTTTGCACAATATTGAAATTTTGATTCTTGGAGGTGAATCCCAATTGTTTTTTTTTACCCCTGGAAAGTACAGTGGATCACATTGTTTTGGTAAGTAAAATTCGATAAAGAGTTTGATCAGAATTGCATTGTTCATTTGTTCATGTNTTCCTTACAGATAACTGAGAGATGTATTGCTTGGGCTAAGGTAATTACTTTGCATGCTGGGGAGGAGCATGATTTGGTACGTCAGTGAAGCCTTTTTTAATGATGGGATTGTTAGCTAGGGCATTTCNAATTTGTCACCGATCAACCACCACCATCGACCTTTTGTCCAGTTTCCATCACGTCTTCCGTCATTGATCTACCACTATCAAATTTTTTTTGTCTGTAGTCTCCACCGACTGCCGTATAATTTTGGTTTTCTATCTTTGTTTCAATTTTTATTTCTTATTGTTTTGATTCAAAGTTTTTATTTCCATGTCGATTTTCAGTTTGATTCTATTTTNTAAGGTTAGGCAAACTGAGTTGAGCTGGTCTGCTACTAAAATTGTCTTTTGGCCATTTAGCTCAACCCAGAAACAACACACAATGTTAGCGAATGTCGATTAAGAACCAAGAAAATCTAGAACAATTGATTACGACTTGGTATTCAAGGAAAGCCTCGAGAGTGTCAGTTACACCTGGGGGAGTCAACCAAGAAAAGCCCAATCAATTAAGTGTGGGAATTAGACCTGTTTTTTTTCTCTTTTGGGCAAATTTCACTTTTCCTCCTTGTGGTTTAACCTATTTGCATATCATTTTAGGCGTTTAAAAATGACATAATCCTCTTGTAGTTGTCGGATTAAAATGTATCATTAAANTAAGGATCAATATTTTTCATTGAAATGGCCTATTTTTATTGGAACCTAAATATACTAATGAAAATTAAAATATTCATGTTTTGAGATTTTTGGAACATTTTGGTTAATATTTTAGAATATTTTGCGATAAAATCTTGTATGGTCTTGAAAACTTTCTGAAATGTTTTTGTGTGTATAAATTGAAATTTTGCACAATATTGAAATTTTGATTCTTGGAGGTGAATCCCAATTGTTTTTTTTTACCCCTGGAAAGTACAGTGGATCACATTGTTTTGGTAAGTAAAATTCGATAAAGAGTTTGATCAGAATTGCATTGTTCATTTGTTCATGTATTTAATCAGTCATCAGTTCACGTGGTTTCCTAAATTGGCTTTTAAGTTCAGTTTAGCGTTCTGCTGAGTTATTAGCATGAAGGTTAGGCAAACTGAGTTGAGCTGGTCTGCTCCTAAAATTGTCTTTTGGCCATTTAGCTCAACCCAGAAACAACACACAATGTTAGCGAATGTCGATTAAGAACCAAGAAAATCTAGAACAATTGATTACGACTTGGTATTCAAGGAAAGCCTCGAGAGTGTCAGTTACACCTGGGGGAGTCAACCAAGAAAAGCCCAATCAATTAAGTGTGGGAATTAGACCTGTTTTTTTTCTCTTTTGGGCAAATTTCACTTTTCCTCCTTGTGGTTTAACCTATTTGCATATCATTTTAGGCGTTTAAAAATGACATAATCCTCTTGTAGTTGTCGGATTAAAATGTATCATTAAATTTTTCATCCATTTTAATGATTCGTATCTATCACGCACTTGTTATGCAATTTGGTATAAAAAATGCAACTAAAAAAGAAAAAAAAAAAAAAAAAACCCTCAACGCCTCTCTCTCTCTCTCTCACATCTGATCAAGTCTAATAGTGTAACAACCATGATTACCAATCTCCATATGAGGACAAGAGAGAACCACGACTCTTATCCACGTCATTTGTCACCGATCAACCACCACCATCGACCTTTTGTCCAGTCTCCATCACGTCTTCCGTCATTGATCTACCACTATCAAACTTTTTTTGTCTGTAGTCTCCACCGACCGCCGTACAATTTTGGTTTTCTATCTTTGTTTCAATTTTTATTTCCTATTGTTTTGATTCAAAGTTTTTATTTCCATGTCGATTTTCAGTTTGATTCTATTTTTAGTTTGATTTTTTGGTTAAAAAAAGTGAAATTGACATGGTGGGATATAAATTGAGTTTTGTTGAGTTTGAATTGTCAAACTGCACTAGTTTGTATGATGTAGGGGATGGGCTGCCATTAATGGAGATGACGCAGTGAATGACAGAGTTGGGGTCTTTGGCCTGCAATATTTAGTGTCGACGGCGATGATGGTTGGCTGCCGGAGTAATTTTGGGATAATTATTTATTAAATTAAAAAATAAATTGATGGGTATTAAAGTCATTTTATTATAATAGTTAACAGAACAAGCACAAGGGGTTATGTGCCATTTTTGAATAGTTGATGTGCAAATGGGTTAAACCAAAAGGTAGTGAAAATGAATTTTGCCTTTTTTTTTTTTTTTGCTTGGATGAAAGGGTATAAGAGGGGGTGATTAGATCTAAAATCTATGTTAGGATGTGTCTTTTGAGAAAGCGACCATGGTTAGGAAAACGCGGCGCCCCCTAAACACGACTTGAACCATAGCCAGATACCAATCTCACCAAACTAATAGAAGTAACTCAATAATTTACTTTCCATGAATTGAACCTAGGAGAACCCTAGCAAGACCCTTAACAGAAAATTAAGTACCAGTAGACCACACAGCTTGGTTTAAACAAGAGATACTCTCCCAAACAGAGCTATTTTATATTTTCTCAACAATCAAACTAAAATTTTCTTGAAATTTTGACCAAATAAAAAACATCATTCACAACATTTATAAATAAAACCCTAAATATTTTATTTCAACGAAATAGTTCTCCCAACTATTTTAATTTTTCTTGTCTTATTTGTATTGTACAGTTTAACAAACTTACAACATTAGAGTGCAGTTCTTATTTCGCAATTTCAATTTCTTCAACCACCTTCTCGCATCCATAAGTCACTCTGACCCCAAATCCCGGCACTTTCACCTAAAGGTGGTGGCAAATGATAGTGTTGAATTGATTTAATATGAATTGAGCGTAAAAAAAAATTCAATCTATTTTTCACGGTGGATGGTTTAATACATCGGCAAAAAAAAAAAAAATTAACTTCAAATATTTAGACTAATACATGCGGTGATTATACAATAGAACATGTAAGAGCGCAAAAAACTCAAGTCAAAAGTATCATCAGGAACTGAAAAAAATTCAGGAAAGTAAAAAGCCAATAGAAATAACATACAATGTAGTTTGCAAAGAATAAAAACAGGGAATGCTTGATATGGAGATGGGGGCTTGCTTTCACCAAAAATTCACTATCGCTTGCAAAATCTGTTTCTCAGCCTAAAAGATTTTGATTGTGACCCCAAATAAAAAAAAATGGGGCTAAAATTCACAATCAGCCTCAAACAGACATCCACATAGACCAAGGGTTTAAGAGGACAGGTGAAATCAAATTATAATCCCTATCCTGATTCATACATAATTGTTGTGTGTGTAACCAAAGACAAGCACATAGACATGATTAGTTCACAGCACAAGTATAAATCTATTGATTACAAAGAATGGATCACAAAAGTACTAAAAAAATCACACAAGCCAGAAGGCAGAAACCATGTGAATGTAAGATTTTAAACAAAGCCAAAGGAGGGAAAAAGCAGAGCACCACGCATAATATCTTTCATTGCTACAAGAGACCCCATTTTGGTTCCCACTCTTGGCCCTCAAAACTGAGGAAAACAAAGGCCAACCTGCAAAAGATTAACCAAGGCAATAGTTGTCATCTGAACACGATATCAGTTTAGTTCACTAAATTTTTAAGAAAAGAAAAATTTGCTTAATGTGTTCAAAAAAGTGAGGCCGCCCTCATGTACATGTGCGGTCCACAAATGAAGTAAACAACAATAACGTACAGCTAGCCCATTATTCAACACATAATTCATGTATTTATGCCAATAGGATAGAAGTGATAGATAGTAAAATTCTACCTGCAGACTTGGCCAAATGAACATTTCAAACTTTCAAGGCAGCTTTGTGAACCATCATTTCCTTGTGGATTTGGTGACAACTCTTCTCCACAAGGTCAAGCAGTTTCTCCAAATTCATAGCCCATGAGTTTAAAATGTCATTACTGTCCTTCGCACTCTGGAAACAGATTATACCCATTGGCCTGTCAATCTTTGCCACCAGCGCTTTAGATACAACCATATCTGAAAGATGCTTTTCAGCTTCCTGAGATGGGAAAGAGAAACAACCATGTAACTGTTTATCAAAGAAACAATTAGATTCAAATAGATGCATAATTGAGAAAAATTCTTTTTTGTTTCTCTTTTTTGAAATGTTAGCCAATAAAGGCATTCTAAAGCAGGACAGACAGCCTTTGCCTATGACGACTGGAATGGAAAACCTTAAAACAACGCCCAACCATCCAGGGGCATAGCTAAAATTTTCATTCAGTGGGATCAACCTATACCTAGTTTACAAAACATACCTCAAGGAGTGAAAAGTGTAAATAAACAGTCCCCCATTTTCTTTTGTTTTTTTACTTGCTAGAATTGTTTCATATATATTTTGGAACTAGAGATTGACCTTGCATTGAAAGTTCACAAATTCAGTGAGGTCATACATAGGATGCTAAATAGTCATGCAGTAGGTCAATATACTTTCTCAGAATACAGAGGCGTGTTTTTGACCCTATTCAGAGTCATGTAGCTCAGCCTATGCCCATCCTTCAACCAAATAGATACGAAAAAGGTAAAAACTAGTGGAGGAAAAAATATGAATCAACTTTGTTCTATGCTAAAACCGTTGAAAAACAAAAGCAACTGTAGCTGAAGAGTGAGAGGACATACAATGCATCAGCATTAACACACCTATAGAATGTAGTCTAAGCTCCAAACAGAAAACACATTTCCTGTTCTGAACTAAAGCAAATAGCAGAACTGGACCAACAGTAGCTCACAGTGAAGCCAAAAGCATAAGGCGAAATACGAATATTGACAGAAGGGCAGTAAGTTAAGAAGCAAAAGGGGAAAACAGACATTGCAAATGAATGACTTCATGATAAAGACAAGCGAATGTCTGTTTACCAAACACATGCTCATTGCTCACATTGGTGAGTGGAGAAAGACATTAAAAAAAAAAAAAGGAAAGAGAGAGTAGAAGCACAAGGCATACGCCTAGACACTGGCACATAAAGGTGTTGTCAGAAATATTTATAACCAGTGTTGTTAGTATCGTACGATACACGATACGTATCGTACGATACGTTACGATACAGCCCNCTGTTATTGTCTCTAACCTAATTATCCAAACTAGGCATGCAATTTTTACTATAAGGATCATATGAATCTAAATGTAATTTGGTTTCAAAATTTATCTATAAATTTTCGAAAATTAAAAATACAGAAAATAAAATTCTGATCTATGTATGAGAGTATAATTTTTTTAAGATATTTTAGTGTAGATGTAGATTACATATACATTATATAGGTGATGAGTGCCATCGACAGTCTCATTGTTCAGAGTCTTAGACCATTAAGACTAACTCAGAGAGAGAGCCATATGAGAGGGGCGGCATCGATTGAAAGCGATTGACAAGAGAAGATCTTTGATACTTGTTGCTGCCTGGTAAGAAAGGATGAGGCAGCATGTCCCTTCTGCACTGCGTGACAGAAGAAGAAGAAGAAGAAGGGGTTTTCTCTATTTGATTTCACATATTTTCTCGCAAATCCTTTCAATTTTCTGCTATATTTATAATTGCAAAAGGGGTGTGATTTAGTGTTATTTATTGCTTCCCTTGAATATAGGTCATGAATTTAGGGTTGAAAATTGATAGATGACATATCTTGGTCTATGTTTGTTGCTCTCTTTGTGCTTGTTTGAGATCTTGTTGTATCAGTCTGAATAGGCCCAACTCGAGACCCGAGCCAATCAATTCGACTCCATTTTGGGCCGATATCATTGATTCGTAACTGAGTCAAGACCGATTTACATGAGTTTCATGCTATTCGCATATCATGCATTGTTATCGGAAGGGAGGTGGGCGAGTTGTTTTGGACTCGGCAGATACTTTGAACCTTGATGGTTAAAGGATGCTCCCTCAGTGTGCAGTCTAGAAATATACATAACCTGAATGTATTGTCTCATGTTTTAACATATCTTTGCCCTTGGTACACAGGTGAGCCTCATGAGTTGCAAAGAAATAATAGTCTACATTGACAGGTAATACAACTTTTTTCTTATCAAAGAAGCCTGAGTACACATCTTTTCACTACAGTCTAGATTCCAATGAAACCAAAACCAGCTTTGAATGTGTAAGATATTATATAACACCCTACTCAAAAAATTTCAGATAACGATATGGAACTAAACCACCAATTTTGTACTCGTATGAACAATGAATCAACACTCGAGTCATTTTACGTGTTAAGATCTCCCTTTTTCTCTAATACAAAAAACACAACAATTTTTGAGTGGCCTAGCACATGGGACTCCTGCATCCTGCCACTGCAAGATCTGCGGAGGGTCAGATACACACAATCTTACCCATCATGCGGAGAGGCTGTTTCTGCGACTCGGACCCGTGACACCTAGTTGTCAAATAAAGTAACCTTACTGATGCGCCAAGACCATAGTCACAGAACAAATCTTATGCCTTCAAAATTTGGACAAGTTGATCTCAAGGAATTTCTAACCAACAGATACACAAAACTAAATTTTACAAGCTGGTTGTTAGAATAGATCTTTGATATAAAACCAAGAATTCCCAAATAGTTTCTTTTGCCTAAGAAACATTCTTGCGGAATATGCTAAAAATCAATATAGAAAATAGAAGCCATCCCGAATATAAGGGCAGAAATGATTATTCTCTAATACCCATGAATATGATATTAAAAGCCTGAGGAGTACTTTTCACTAAGAAAAGTAAGTAAACAATACAATCTTAAAAAATAGATCAATACTATTAATGACTAATATGATATAAATGATGTATTAGCAAACCTGCACACTGAGACACAGCAGATCTGCAAGTCTATTCAAGGTAATCCGTGAATAATACTTTGAGACAACAAGAATGTTCTGCAAAACAATGGTGTCTCAAGAATGAATGATTGCCAATTAACTCAAAAGTTAAAAATGATTAACAGCATCAGTAGTTAGTGTAAATGAACATTACATGTTCTATTACTCTCTCTCTAAGATCTTCACCTGCTTTGTCACCTAAAGGCCCACCAAGCATGTTCTTTTCATTTTCAAACTCATCCTTGAATTTATTCCACAAAACTGTCCACTGAATGACCTCCATAGTAATTAACTGTTTTAACAGCAGCCTATGACATAATGGCCAAAGTTTAAAAATATCCCTCCAAACAAAATCCCAAAAACAAAAAATAAAAAAATTGCACAAGCAAAATCAAACCTAAAATGAGGAACCTCAGAAAGATTCTTGTCCTCCAAGGTAGAGTTTAGAAGGCTTGATTGCATAGGATCATGTGGTGACAAAACCAAGTACCAGCATATTTTCCTCAGCACCTGTATGAAAGGACGCAGAGAAGTTCAGCAGGATTGAGGAAGGCATCCTTGTGTATGTGTATATAATTTCAAATGTGCATAAATTGAGGAGTTTTTTACCGGTATCCACTGAGCTGGGTCTTCTTTGACAGAGGGCGTCTCATATATTGCCTTGTAACAACGGCACATTTCGAGGTAGTCATTGCTATGTGAGTGATATCTACACAGGTATGCATCAAATGAATTTGACAAGTCTTGGATAGACAAAGTATAACAATAATTTATGGACAAGGCTGCCATATTAAAATCTTTCATTTGAAACTCTTTAAATGTCTATACATCTGAATGGTCTGCATGGATGATATTAGGCTAGTTCCCAGAGTTAGATAGTAGTCATTTTAAAGCAGGTTCACACCAAGCATGTTCATGATTACGCTATAGCATTAGCGGTTCATGATTACGCTATAGCATTAGCGGCTTAGCAAGTTACCAGGACTAAAGTACCTAACATCATTCTTGGGGAAGATGTATCTACCTAGTTTTTACTTTTTCTTCATGACATATACATATATAAATATAAGTCAAATTACACAGTAGTCTTTCCTATCATGATTCTAAGACCTCAATTCAAGCTGCCAAACACAATGTGGATACAAATGGAGATTCTCCCCAAGAAAACTTCAAGCCTTGAGGGCAAATTAGGCATTCTGCAACTGAATGTCACAAGCAGCTCAGTAATTAAAAACATCAGTCACAACACATAGGCCTCAAAGGAAAAGAATAGTCGAAAAACTTGAGCACGATTGATCCACAAAAGGACGCTAATTTATTATGAAAGATATGGCATCAGAGATTCCTTTTTTTGAAAGTTCACTCCAGCTATAATGATACCCACATACCTTATCATTAATTCATAGTAGATCCGTTTCAACCCCAACAGCGATGGTATCTCAGCTGGAGGCTCTTCTACAACATTTTCACCCTCTTTGGGTTTTTTCTTTTCTTTAGTATCAGCGTCAAAAACTCTTGGACTTATCTTTCTTGAGAGGATTTGTGCACGCACGTAATCTTGGCGGTCTAAACATAGACGAACCTGCGAAGTTCAGATCTCATAGCATAACATTTTCAAACTAACATCCTGGCTATTAATTTCTAAGTTGGGTTAACTGAAAAGAGAACAGAAGGACCCATACTTGTTCAAGAATGAAAGCTATTTTTTCTGTTTTTGCCATTGCACCAAATGTTTCCACCTGTAAATTAATACCATAAAAAGGTGCTACAAGAGGGAAATACAACTCCACACAAAATTTCAGGATAACTACACCAAAATAGTAAGATCTAAAGAAGTCAAAACAAATACTCAACGAACTGACCGCAATTTCTTGCATCAAATCAGCAGCCTCAGCTATAAGCCCTTGTCCTTCCTTAATCTTTGCAAGTTTCTTGACTAAACGGGCCCTCTCAATCTCAACATATATCTATAAAATAACAGAGCCAATTGAGAAAAAATATAAAAAAAAAAAAA